TTGTTGTAAAAAATAGCCGAGAAGGCTAATAAAGATCAATTCATTCATTCATTCATTCATTCATTCATTCATTCATTCATTCTCTCTCTCTCTCTCTCTCTCTCTCTCTCTCTCTCTCTCTCTCTCTCTCTCTCTCTCTCTCTCTCTCTCTCTCTCTCTCTCTAAAGTTGCGTCACCACCACCGCCGCTTGTGTGGAATTCGTGTCAAGACTTCAAGAAGCTTTGATGTACAAGCGGAATTAATCATTTCGCGCAATACTGCGGAGTTATTTCTACGGCGACGACTGCATAATTACGATACGCTCCCGCACGGAATGTCTGTTTATGTTTCACATTGCAAGCGTGTTCCTCCTTTATTTACTCGAGGTCTGTTTATATGTGTGTTTTATTTATTTGCTGTCTATATACGCGTAAATACTGTCTGTCTATACAGTATCGTAAATACTCGCAACAGAGGAAGCTCTTATCACTGTGTTTCTTGACACCATTCAAATTTCACGAAATATTTCATAAATATTTCTTTTCATAATAATTTATATATTGCACAATTATAGATATTTGTTTATTTATATGTTGATATTGAAACGTTGTTTGCGGCGATCGCCTTTTTAAATTAATTAGTTATAGATAATTGTTGTGTGCAGTACGTTTGATTTAATTATATTATTATATATATATATGTATTTATTTATTTTTTTGTTCCTGCGTTTCTATTTTCCTATTTTAGAGATATCAACCTAATCTTAATAATTCCCATATAATTTTTATTTCATCATTACTAAAAGTATTTTTTCCCAATTTCGTTTATTTGCTTATCTATACCTTTCCACAAATATTTCACCTCGTTATTATGAAAATTGATTAAAAACATGATCTTTATATTTTATCGTATTACCTACGCGAAATAAACTTTCTGCACATAAATGTTTCCTAATTATTTATAATTTTGCCATTTAATTAATCCCGGCTCGCGTATGTCAGTATTAACTGTAACGATCACCGTATTAACTCCAACTTTTGATGAAGCGATCTGATTCGCGTCGATGCGCGCGATTTATGTCCGACAGAAAGCCGGCCGCGAGAATTTACATTATTAACGGCCGCCGCCGCCCGCGGGGTAATATCGGAAATGGGAAACGGGGCCCGGTAACATCGACGATGATGATTACGCGTATCGCCGCGGTGCATCGTCGCTCGCCCACGTTTACGTGCCCGTTTTATTGAAACGATGAACATATCGCTTAATTAGGCGAACCGATCCGACACTGATCGATGCATCGCGGAACTTTCCAACGGAGAGAATCAACATTTCCGATGCAGCTTCCGCGATTCCTCCGCGCTTATTTGCACTTGTATGTATGTACAATTTCTCGCGCAGTTCTCGATGCGCGGGGGCGAAAATACACGTGCCAACTTTTACCGAACAGTTTCGCGAATATGCAGAACGACGCAAATGTAACTTGGGTGTTTAGAAATGTCGAAGTTCGAATTTCGAAATATATATATATATATATATATATATATGTATATAATATATGTTATAGAATAGTTTGAAGACTGTTATACTCCTAGCGCGCGGATTCTGAATACGCTCTAAATTTCGACGTTAGATTTCCGCGTAGGATGTTTCGAAGTTACCACAATTCCGGTCTGAGAGATCTCGAAATTTTCGTAACCCCCAGAAAGTTCGTGAATTCCATTATAATTTTACGGGCCGCGGGTATGTACCCACGTAATAGCGAAATTAACGTCGTGACCCGAATAGCGGATGAGAAATTTTCGCAGCATCTTTCAGGTGCAAGATTAAAAGACGATTTTAAAATACGCCCGATACGCGACGCGACGCCTGTTGGCGGTAGCATATTATTTCTCGCTGTAAATTCGCTATCGATCACTCCTTCCGTCGTCCCTCGAGTGGATCGTCCCTCTTTCCTCGGCACAGGCGACACACGCAGGCGTACATACACGCACACACTACGCCATCTTTACATAGCTAGCGTAACACGTTTTTGTAATATATCAGAATAATAGACGTTCACGAAAGAATCGGAAAGAAATGCGAGGCGAGACAAATAGACATAATTGCGCAAAAAAGTCGAGAAAAAAAGAAAAGAACCTTATGCCAAGGTAAACGTGGTGTACGATATTTTAAAATAATATTTGCAATATTTTTCTTTGAAATACAAATTGAGATAAATATATACGAACCGACGTAATAAGAGACTGTGCGATGAAGTAAAAGCTCGATTATCCGATGCGCGTTATATATGCTTGACAGTCTTGTTTCTTTTTCCCTTTTTTTCGAAAACTTCCTCTCTTGGTATTCATATTTCAAAAAGTTGATGAAAAACTATGCGCTTCCATTAATTTAATCCAACCGCAATTCTGTTGGTTGTAAAGATGGGAGAATGTTGCACACAGGGCGGTTGACCAGTAATGCGTTAAAAATGGAGAACATTCCCGGATCCGACGGACAAATGAAGAAAAAGGAATCGGTCAGTTGTGAGCGCGCGCACACACGGACAATTTAGCGCCCGTTAGACAACTGACGGAGATTAATGGGGGCGAATATAGGCGTTCGGATAAATAGGTAAATTGATTGTTACGGCTCGCCTTGGATAAAATGGGGCAGGCGTTCGTTTAGTTTAAAACGAGCGAGCATATTTCGCTCGGGCGCGCGAGTTCTCTCACTGTCCGCCTTAATTTAACGCGTTCGTCTACATGTCAATAATCCTTGGGTCGATACGGGGTCGAGAGACAAGACGGTAATCATCAACGTCGGCTTGCGTCGAATTTTCCTGGCTTTAAAAAAAGTTCCTCGGAAGCAAGAAATGTATAAGAATCTGTCGAAATGTATTTAGCTGCAAAGAATAACACCAGGAGACTAAAAAAACAGAGAAAAGAAGTAGAGGAAGAAAAAGGATAAATATAGATTTCAAATAAAGTCATTTTTGTATAGTGCAATCATGTCTCTCTCTCTCTCTCTC